TATGAAGGTTTGTGTTGAATCTTATTGTGTCTTGTTAGGCCATGTTTGGTGGATATTCCCGGAAGATCTTATCTTTTTTGAAGGGAAACAGAGCAGGAGGAGGAGTGGATCTGGAGGAAATAAGAGGGGGGAAGAGGGACTGGGAAGACAGGAGGGAGGGGCAACATGTATGAAAGAATTAAAAAAAAGAAAAGGTGATTATCAAGGTACAAGAAGTATACAGAACACCAAACAGGCAGGACCAGAAAAGATATTCCCATAACATATAATAATCAAAATGCTAAATGTATAGAACAAAGAAGGGATAAAAAAGCTACAATGGGGGGTGGAGAGATGGCTCAGTCGTTAAGAGCACTCAATGGCTGCTCTTCCAGATGACCCAGGTTTGATTCCCAGCACCCACATGGCAGATTACAACTGTCCAGGATCCACTGCCCTCACACACACATACATGCAGGCAAAACACCAATGCATACAAAATAAAATAAATTATTTTAAAAAAAAGCTACATTGGAAAAAGATAAAGTAACATATAAAGGCAGGCCTATTAAAATAACACCCAACTTCTCAATGGAGAATCTGAAAGCCAGAAGGGTCTGAACGGATGTTCTAAAACTCTTAAGAGACAACAGATGCCAGCCCAGAGAAAGAAAAACATTCCATGATAAAACCAAATTTAAGTAATTTATAATTTACATCTACCAATCCAGCCCTACAGAAGGCACAGAGAAGTCAAGCTGGCATCTAACTGAACCTTCACCCCTACTGAACTTCCATGGTACTAAAAGTACTCTACACACTAATGGGGGAGAAAGACAATCTTCAATACAATCTTCAATACATTCTAGCTACAAATCCTGCAACCTACAATAGTGACATACTTGCAAGAAATACTGGTGTAATAGTGGCACAAATGTTATGGGAACAACCAACCACTGTGACTGAATGTAAAGCCCCTCCACGAGATGGAAACCATACTTGACACTGCTAAACTGTGTGCAAGAACTTGAGACTATATAGGCCATGGGAAATGATATACTATTATTAGGAGGAATACTAACACCAGGGGAAAATATATTATTAGTCTGTTAAAGGAATGTAGCAATAAAATGACTCCTAACAACATACTGCTATATCCATAGATCAGTGCCTTTCTCAGCCATCACCAGAAAAGCTTCTTCTTGCAGGAGATTGGAACTAACAAAGAAACCCACGCCTGGACAATGTGCAAAGAGTAAGAGACTTTGGAGCGAGTACTCGGTCCTAAATGTGATGTCTTCATCAACCCCCCAGCCAAAGTTCAAGGATATATGTGGAAATGGAGGCAGAAAGACTGTACTAGTCAGAGGTGATGGATGTCTACAAGGAAACAGTGTCTCTCAGACACAACAGGACTGATGCACATATGAATGGAGAGAGGCTGTGGCAGCATGCAAAGAGCCTGCACGGATTCGAGTCAGATGGGGTCCCAGCATGGTGAGGGGTCAGTGGACATGGGTTACTACCACTAACCAACAGCTATCTCCATTTGATGCCCACTGGCAAAGGAAAAAAATTCAGTTTCCTCCAGATCTCTCTGGGTATATTACACACCCATCAGGGCAGGTCCCATGTTCAGGAGTAGTTGGCCAACACAAAACAAACTCAATGGTATTTTGTAGAGTTTGTTTCATTTTGCTTTGAGCATATTTATTTATTTATTTATTTATTTATTTATTTATTGATTTGGTTGGCCTCTGGCTTCTTAATTTTGATTTTCATTTGTTCCATTTGTGTGTGTGTGTGTGTGTGTGTGTGTGTGTGTGTGTGCGCGCGCGCGCGTGTGTATTTTGCTTTTTGTTTTGTTCTTGTGGTGTGTTTGTTTTCTTTTCTGAGACAAGGTTTCTCTGTGTGGCTCCGGCATTCCCTCTGTCAACCAGGCTGACTTTGAACTCAGAGATCTACCTACCTCTGACTCCTGAGTGCTGGGATTAAAGGTGTGTACCATTACACCCAGCTGACTGTAGACGGTTTTTTAAAGAAAGGGGGAAGATAAGGTTGAGTGGGTAGGAAGGTGTGGCGGGGAGAGAGAAGACCTGGGGAAGTGGAAAACATGATCAAAATATAACATAATTAAAAAAGTAAATTATAGCTGGGTGGTGGTGGTGCACACCTTTAGTCCCAGCACTCAGAGGCAGGAGGATCTCTATGAGTTTGAGGCTAGCCTGGTCTACAAAGCTACAGGAAGAAACCCTGTCTCGAAAAACAAAAATTATAATAGAAATAACACTAGTTGCTCTTCCAGAGGACCCAGATTCAAGGCCCAGCACCTACATGGCAGCTCATAACTGCCTGTAACTCCAGTTACAGGGAATCTGACACCCTCACACCAATGCACATAAAATAAATTACTTTAAAAAAATAATTTCAGAGCTGGGGATTTATCTCAGTGGTAGAGCACCTGCTTACCAATTTCAGTCTCCAGAAACCCCCACATACCAACATACTCAAAAACACAGACACTAACCAATACCAAACACACCAAAAACCTTCATCAAATTCTATATGTTAGCTGCAATTCCTTATATGATCACCTTCTCTCTGTATGTCTGTTTCCTCTTCAGTAAAGTAAGAATAGGGACTGACCCCCTCCAACCCCAAAGTATGCACACACAGAAATACTCACACAAAGATGTATACAGAGACCCCCCTCCACACACACACACATCCCTAGAAAAATACCATTATTGTCACTTGAATGTTGGTGGGTATGCACAGAAATGATAATAGCCACCTTCATTTCCATCTCTTTATTAAGATCATCTTTTTGACATTAGCAAAGAAGCATTTCATAATTACTATGTAAGAAGAAACTTAACCTAACTGTGATCTTATTGGCCACCTTAAAGTTGCCGTTGTTCTTTTTTTTTTCTTTTGGGGAAGATGAGGCAAGTCCTCTACCCCTGAGCTAGAAAACTCTCAGTGACAGATTGCACAAATGCTTAAGAACTGACTCCTTTTCATTGAGGTTAGCTTCAGGGATCTATTTCCAAAAATCATGGTTTTCTGTTTCACTGTTTTAGGGAAATACAGACTTACAAAATTAG